ACTTTTTAGACCTCTCTCAGTCTTAAATTAAGACAGCGATCAATGTTTCCAACCAGCTCATGTGAGAGCTATTGCCGGGAGGTTTCAGAAAAAATATTTTTTTTGATAAAAAATTTAGATCTAGGGGGTGTAAAACAACTTCTGGGAGGGTCGTAGATTGCGACGGGAAGTCATCCAATGTTACATCTTCTTAGAATAAATAAAAAGAATAAAAAATGGATTCGTAAATCTGTGATCATCAAGTCACAAGCGGAGTTATCATAATCACACTACATATACAACATCGTCATACCCATTCATCTACCTACATATTCCTTCTTCTTTTTTTTTCTTCTTGGTTTTACTGTTATACAAAAGATAAGGTAATTTTTTAGAAGCCGTTCATGAGGCATCGGAGCGTTTTTGGATCAAAGATATGCCAGAAGATTCGTCTTCATCTTTTTTTGTTTTTTGTTCGAGAATGTTTTGGATGAGTGATTTCGGTGCGAGGAAAGAGTTTACATATCTCTCGGAGTTCGTGTTCGGCTTATAAGAGAGTCCGATACAGAAGCTCATTATAAGTGTTTCGCTTTCTCGAAGATTTTCTGGAGACCGGAAGCAAGAAAAGTCAGCCCATGCAATCCAGTCGACCTGATTATAACTTTGACAACAAAGACAGGAGAAGAGTGGAAGCCGACCTTCTCGTGCGAAGCTTGGGAGGCTTCAGGGTGCATTTCCATGAAGCTGAATCTCGGGTCAGGGGCGTTGGATCTGCCCTCCCAGAACTCCGGATTGAACGAGAACAACTTGGTGTTGGTGTTTTGAGCGACGTTGTTCCAAGGATGGGGATTCGCACGCTTGCGCAAAACTATCTCATCCACATTCTTCATGTCAGTTCAACCGTTCTTCATGATCAGGACATTCCTTTGATCACTTTGCAAGACTTGTTCGTATTGTACAACTGATAAAGATTCAATCTTCGAGCTCGCACTCACCTACTTCCGGGCTGTTCATCAGGTAATGTATGCCAAATGCAATCCCGCCACCGATGCCTACTCCAGTCTATGATGATGATCCAATGAATAATCATCCAAAGAATAGCAACAAAATGGCAGAAGTACCAAACAAAATGGACTGTCAAGCTTCAGGAGGAATCATAGACCTACGCCCCTCAAGGTCGAGCAAGACTTGCGAAGGGAAACTCACGGCTACTATCATTGGCACAAAGGTTGCACTCCTTGCTAATGGCATTATCAGAGACATCTTCTATATTATCGAAGAAGCAATGCAAATGTATATATTAGCGGAAGCGTTGAGATGGATCAGGGAAAGGTCAGACATAATACCGGGCAAGGGGTAACCTACCCTTCAGATGGAAACTCGGAGTCGTTTGATAAGTGTGAGTTGTGTGTGTGGGTGTCTGCTGTTTTCGGTTGTCGATGTCTGCCAAAGGGCCTTTCAATGGCGAGTTGGAGGCGCTATTTATGCAAGTGAGAGATGGACATGGAGTGCCCACGGTGAATGCCCTCCCCTGCCAGCCTACTACTCTAGGCAGTGCGAAACATTTTGGGGTCCAGCAGTTTAGGGCTGGATGTTCTCCATCTTCAGTCATGATATGGGAGATATTTTGGCCGCTTAATCTTTCTTGCGGGTCGATACATACACCATCATCATCATCATCAAGGTAAACAAATATCTGCGTGACTGCAACGACTGGCCGGAAATTACCCCGCATCCCATCCGCATCCTTAATTGGAATTTTTTGGGGTTCATCCATAAATATGTTGTTTGATTTTCAGCATGCATATCTACATTTGTAGGCCTGTTTACACAATATATGTAGGCTTCAGAGGCCAGGGCACCCAGATGAGACGCGGTGAAAATTGCCTGATTTCAAAAGTGGTAGCGCTGTTTGTAATTCGGATCGGCTATGCGCACATAGGACGAGCCCCTGATTGAAAGGTCTGCACCCTCAAAACATCTGGAGTTTTTTGGGGGGAGAAAATTTACAATCATTTGACGATGCAGGCCATCTGGATCGGTTGTAACCAGGTGAACCCGAGACCATCCCTCCTAAAATATGAGTCATGACTGACTCAAGTGAATTCAGATGTACCCCCATATCACTCTTTTCGCCGAAGCTATCGAAAAAGTGATATGTGAGAGGTACATTCAAGATCACCAAAGGAAGGGCGATTGCGTGCTAAATAGATTGATGGCAAAAAATACTCCGTTCGACCTTGCACCTGAAGCCGAATGGACATATTGAAGTTAATGGCGCAGGAGAAATAATGTGCCTCAGGCTTCAAGCACTAGACCGTACTAAGAGGCCCATTTCGATCATGGATCAATGTTCACGACACAAGGGGGAAGATTTCCTGGCAAATGGCCGATTGATTTTCGCAGCTGGAACTTTACAGTTGTCCCTGCCCATGAAAACTTGGTCTAGACACTCACCGCTCGAGAGGAGTGTTTGCTTACACACATCCTTCTCGCTGTTTCATCCAATCAGTTGTTCTATCTTGCTCTATCCGATTAATCCCCCATGAAGCAAAGCTCTCGTTCCCCACTCACACCCATCTGAATTTCAGGGACTTGATCGGCCGCTTGGACAGGACTCCTTCATTCTCAAAGTAAACTTTCGCAGATTATTCTCACTTCTCGATTTCCCCCGTTTCAGGACTTGCTATCACGCAAAAAATTCAGAGAATTCAGGCGGATTTCTTGTTGTAACATCAGGGAAGGCAAGGCCGAAAAAAAAAGTAACATCAGGGAAGGCAAGGCCTAAAAAAAGGGGGGGGGGGGCGGCTTCAACTCCCCGCCAGGTAAACTTAATTGAATTTGAAGTATGCAGTAACCCGAACTTGATAAAAGGAGCAGCAACAAAATTTTAGGGACGACTGTGGCGACTTCCTCCCGAGCCTAACACAAGCCTCTCGAGTGAGAGCCCGACAACCTCGCGGAGGTCGCGCTTCGCGCGAGGTCGCTTTCGCGCCCCTTGCCTGCCAAAGGAGAGGGACTGTGTTAAGTTCGACTTCCTCCCTCCAAGCCTCAAACCAGTACAACCTAAACTTGAGCCCAAAATGAGGGTCTGGGACTTCTTGGAATACTTTTCTGGTGGGTTTCATGTCGAGAGTGTATAACATTACACTGCAACTTGATGGTAAGTTAGGCTTCAACTTGCACCAAACTCAAGTTCCGGTTTCAGAGGGCAAGCGGCTGTGCCTTGAAGTGCCCGTGCAGCGCAGGAGAGTCTCCTGCGGATTCAAGATGGACCCTTCACATTTGAGATGCTGCTAAGCTGAACCTGAGTTAAAGATTTGTCTGGTAGATAACCCGACCAATACAATTTTCTTTGAGTTGAAAAAAAATGGAAAATTCAAGACAGCCTTCTTTGATCCAAAGCCTCTGCAAGGGTCACATTTCCACAAGTCAGCAGAATGAAGCTTTGTTTCTCTCCTAGAGATTATAATAGGAACATGCCCATGTTGGTTTGGGGGACATGGTTACGTATCAAAAAAAGAATTTGGAGAAGGGTAAACTTAAAGGAGAGTCAAAGAGCCAAACCTTTGCTCACAAATCACACAACATAGAGAGATAAAGATGAAAATAAACATGATTGAGGAGACAAAGAAACACACTAATACTTGCAACACCATGACAAGAACCTGAGCTTGGACAAGAATGTGTAACACTACTCACAAGTGTGAGGATTGTTTTTTGGTTCTTTGGAATCTTCTTGAGCCGGCCTGGTGTGAAAGCCACACCTACTCTAGTTTCACAGAACTAAGACCAACCTGTCACAACAACTCAATCCCACTTATAAACCAACAACTGCCCCCCCCCCTTCCTAGCTTGGTAGAGATTTTATGACCATCTTCTACCATGCTAGGTGAACCTTTTCATTCTATTCTTTCTCATTTTGATTTCTCATTGTTTTCCTTCTTCCCTCCTCTTCATCATCTATTGTACTTAGGCCCAGGGAAAAGATTTGACTACCATCTTCTACTGTGCTAGCAATTCAAGTTGCTTCTAGAAATCTCTTCAAGATTCTGTCTTGTATCCAACTGACGTCAGTGAAGACACCTCAGCTGACATAGTAATATGAATGAAGGGGATGAACATTCATCAGACTCCTTTGCCAATGGCAATCAGAAAGATTATTATTGTTTTTGAAAGGCAGGAAGTATACCAACAAGCTGAATTCCTTAGTAAGGGAACTTGTCATTGAATTTGCTTAAATAAATTACCACATGATACACACATACATATCCATAGCATCAGCATGATCAGGATAAGCCCAATCAGCAGCTGGAAAGAACAAAAGAATAGATTCCATGGATATTTCATTCTGCAAAGACAGATTGTAAAAGAAAGTGAGAATTGTTCCCTAAACACAAATACAAACTACATGTATATATACATGCATATATACATACACATGGTCTCTACTAATCTCTTTGACAGAAAGAAACAAAAAAAAATTATACACAACATATCTGCACATAAAAATCCAAGGGGAAAGAAAGAGATATTGAAATGTGTATTAGGGATTGTTTTGTTTGATTAACAAAGGCGTGGCAACTGGAATGTCTTTGGCATATAATAGAGATAGTCAACAACACCAATATTAGATAGAAACTTGAGTGTTTTTTCCTTGTCTGTTTTTTTATGAATAGCACTTTTATGAAGACTGATGATGCGAATTCAAAGAAAGAGGGATGTGCTTTTTTTGTTCAATTTTCAATTTTCAACTTTCTTGTTCTTCTTTGATGACCGATTTAAGCGAGTGTGACTTGAGATGATGATAGTTTGAAGGGGTATCTTTCGAGACCGTTGCGTTCTCTTTGATCTGATTGAATTCTGCGATTGTGAAGAAAGAGAGAGAGCAAGAGACAAGATTAAAGAAGACGATAAGTTAGAGGGATAAAGGCGTCAAGAAGCTCTGGAATTCTAAATTATCCTAGCCCAAATGATCTTACCCATTTGTTTCAATAATTTCTGATCTTCATCGTCATCGATTTCCAGTTTCCCGGATGAGTTCACTCCTCCAGATGGTAATAGAAACGAGGGAGCAGTCGTATCAGTCGAAGTCTTCGGGATCCGGTGTAACAATCCAAATCCAATCGAGCAACCCAACAATCCTTCACCTGATCCCCAAGAACGCTTCCAAACCGTAAAAAATAAATCATTATTAACAAGATATGCTTTTTTGGTTAGGTTGAAGATTGAATGAAATTTCTTACTCACGTTGGGTACAATGACTACTTCCCTGGTTACTTCATAATCAGCGTTGTAGACAAATAATCGTAAAGGTCTTCCTTCGTGCTATGCCATAAAAATAATATTTCCAAGATTGAAAGAATGTTTAGCGAGTTAATTAATCTTCTCTGATATCCTGTAACCAAGCATACGGATGATTTGACCAAGTACGAACTTCTTCTACAACTTCATAGAGCTCATTTTCGCCTCTCAAGATTCCACCTGCATATCCGATTATCCAGTCTCCAAAGGGTACCAGACCTAGACGAATGAGACTCTTAGGAATCAGAAAACCGGTCCTTGGCGAGGGTTGAAAAATTAGGGAATCTTTAGCAATTATGTAGACGTACCAGCATCCTGAGCAGGAGAGCCTTCAACAATATCCAACACGTGCCATACCTTACAAGAGAATCGAACCGTCTTAGCTGAAAAACAGAACACATTCAAAACAATTAAATAGTGGATCTTACGTTGGCCAAAGCGTTTTGAGGACTACAAAGCCTTAACGAGAGTCCTAAGAGGGAAGGTTGTGGTTGTTGATCATTGGACGACAAGTGATTATTTGATGACCATTTTCGATTGGGCGATGTTTGAACGTCTACATATTTAAATGATAAAATTTCATTTTCCTTTTAGTGATACAAACATAATATAGATCTGAAATCGGGTGAATGAAGAGAAAAGCGCAAGCTGACTTCGAACCTCTTGTTTCCGTGAGCTATAGACTTGCAAAGTGATCGATTTTCCTTCGGCTTCGTCGAGCCAATTCGCCAATGTCTCGCCATCCTCTGTCTTACAAAGATCAAAACCGATCGATATAAAAAAAATTCAGTTGATGATGCTTGTTGCCATATACCAATTCATAAGCAACCAGAATATGTAAACACTACTAACCACTTGTTGACCGCCAATCCCGACGATGTAATCGAAAAACGGCTCGATACCCGCCTCTGCGGCAGGAGAGCCTTCGGCGACTCGGAGGACGTGGTAGGCTTTGAGAGCTGTTGGGATCCAGACCGGAGACCGAACCCAAGTGTGATTCTTGAGCACCCATGACAACTGATGATATTCTATCCTAAGCTGAGCGGTCCAAAATGTGAGTTATCTAGAATTCCTTCTTTCTCTGGGATGCAGGACGAGGTAGGATTGGGATCTGAAGAGTTGCAGTTATGGATTGATGTATTTCCGAAGCTGATGACCATGCGTTGTCTTGGTATTGATGGATGCTGTATGTAGTTGGTGGTGATGGGCTGTGATGGGATGGTCATGAGACTGAAAAAAAAGTCAGACTCAGCGGAACTGAACTCGAAACACAGCAATTTGGGTTCCCCACAAGACACGAGCCTAAGAGCATCCGCATCGGTTGATCGGATTAGTGAGGATTAGCGACCTCTTTAATCCCAGGATTAGTGGGGTATAAATTTAACCCCCGCTAGCTCCAAAACTAACCCTGGAGCTAACTTAATCCAACCTCTAATCCCAACCAATATGGTTGGGAGGATTAGATTAGACAGCTAATCCTGCCTAATCTGCACACCGATGCGGATGCTCTTAGAACTAGGCCTCCACGGCGGGAGCGGGAGCGAGCAGCGGAGCTGTCCACGCCAGTGGAGGCCTAAGACAGATGCGGCAATCCCCGCGTGCTCGAGCCTAACTAGGCCTCCATGGCGGGAGCGGGAGCGAGCAGCGGAGCTGTCCACGCCAGTGGAGGCCTAAGACAGATGCGGCAATCCCCGCGTGCTGAGTTTTCAAAATTAGGCTTGAAACCCAGTTTTCTGTGCATTTTTCTGCCTATGCTCTTCTTCTTCCACTGTTATCTAGTTTACTTGTGGCCCAAGGAGGGTCTGCTTCTTGTACATTCTTCCCTCTGCTCACATTCTGGTGTCATGTTGTGAGTTTTGATGTAGTTATTTTTGAAAATGACAACTTTTCAACTGAAGTCGAGCTTTTTTGGCGTGTGCGAGTTCATCAAACCGCTTATGTCAGCGTAAAAGAAAGCTCAAATGCTGATTTGATAAAATCATTATTAATTGTTTTTGTGATTCTAAAACTTTGAAATTTTGCCTGATCAATAAGATCAGGCAGGTTTTTAATAATCCGAGACCAAACATCAAAAAAGTTTTGAGGGAGCGTCAGGATTTCAAATCTTGTGACGCTCCCACCAAAACAATCCAAACTCAGCACCTGAGTTGGTCGACCTCTGGCCCAAGTCTCCCCTGCGGGGAGTTCCCTTCGGGAACCGCCTGGCCAGCGCTACGCTGCCAGATGCGCCCCCCGCAGCCAGAGACTTGTGTCAAGTTCGCCGCGTGCTGAGTTTTCAAATTTGGGCTTAAAAGCCAGTTTTTTGTGCATTTTTCTACCTAAGCTCTTCCTCTTCCACTATTATCTAATTCCCTTGTAGACCAAGGAGGGCCTGCTTCTTGTAAATGTTTCCCTCTCCTCACATTATTTTGTAATTTTGTCAATTTTGATATAGTTATTTTTGAAAATGACAACTTTTCAACAAAAGTTGAGGCTTCGTTTGGCCGTCCATGATCGTCATAAACGATCATGGCAGATATTTCGGGGGTGCACAGCTAATGACGGGGCCTCACGATGGTGTTTGGGAGGCCACGTCATATCGAATCTCTTATGACGGAAATGGTCAACGAGATATATTCTCTGCCAAATCCAAGATTTTGGGTCCCCCCCAAAATTTTGTGTCATAAGTGCCGCTTCGGTGCTCTCATCACCCTCGGGCCAACTCGGCTTTCCCTTACAACAACTCCGTATCACCCCCCAGCTGCACACCACCCCCTCTGACCGGCACCATGCCCCCCCCCATCCTCCTAAACCGCCGTTCTGATCATCCACTTCCAAGGTGCACCAAACAGCCACATCGTTATTGATATGGATTTTCAGGCTGCGTCATCTGCACAGCCTGAAAGAATCAAACCTAAATTTTGATTTGACGATTTTTGATGACGGTCTACGACGATTGTGGACGGCCAAACGAAGCCTGAGTTTTTTTTGGTGTGCGCGAGTTCATTAAGCTGCTTATGTGAGCATAAAAAAAGTTCAAACGTTGATTTTAGAAAATCAATATTGATTACTTTTGTGATTTTAAAATTTTGAAATTTGGCCTGATCAACAAGATCAGGCAGGTCTTGAAAAATTCGAGACCAAACATCAAAAAAGTTTTGAGGGAGCGTCATGATTTCAAATCTTGTGACGCTCCCACCAAAACACCAGAAACTCAGCACCTGAGTTTGTCGACCTCTGGCCCAAGTCTCCCCTGCGGGGAGTTCCCTTCGGGAACCGCCTGGCCAGCGCTACGCTGCCAGATGCGCCCCCCGCAGCCTGAGACTTGCGATAAGTTCGCACAAGACAACCGACCATCCCACTCAGCCCACCAGGGTACGCATGCCACTCAACAAATCAAGGAGAACTGGGCAAAGACACACCAACTTGCACTTCACAAACAAACTAAAACGTATTGATTTATACTTTTAAGTTGGGCAGGGGCTCATGAAGGCCATGCGGCTTGTCCAAAGACTCATGACTTGTGCCCGCTCATCAGCGCTCATCAGATCAGAACATAGGAACATCAATACCAAAGTTGTATCACAAAGGGCACTCTAAAAGAATCTCCAAACCCATACCAGTTTCTTTGGAACCTGGAGAAAGCAGTCCTCTCCTATATAACTCCATGGAGCTTTTAAAAAAATGAGGCCTCAAACTTAATCATCACTCGTACATTGGTTCAAATTTTTGCAAGCTTGCTTCCGGCCAGTGTGGTATTTTTCGAATTGTTTTTGTTAATCCCTAAAATAGACTAACCAAAAAAAAATTTAACACATGATCATTGATTGAGTCAAACTACAGTAAGAGATAATTTTTTATGTCAGGGAGTAGATTTTTAAAAACAAGCCATCACTTTTGTATCACAACTTTGGATAGGGATTTGTGGGTGATTTTTCTTTCCATTTTCTAACAAAACATGAACATAACGATTGATGGGACTGGAGTAGGGTTCAAGAAAAGTGAGGTTATATCGCTTAGCATATGATCAGAACACAAAAAACTAGCATCTTTAACCAAAATTACACAAGACAACAAAAACCAAAAATGACTCCCTGCTATAGTTTTTTGGTCAAAATAAAACACCTCAGACGTATCCTCAACTCTCTCATCGTTACCTATCATCGATCCCAACCCTTATTTCTCGGCACCTTTGCAATGACAAAAATAAAATCCAGCTCACCAGCAGTGAGTGAACTTTTCATAAACAGTGACCACATCTTCCCAACGTTTATCAATTGAAATTGATGTTTGATTTTCCAAGAATCTCTTTGCTGTGAGCTGAATCCCTTGCACAATCCTCAGGCTTGCGGCATCACAGTTTTTCTGTTCCTGATGGCTGCTCGTGGACTTACACGGACTCGTGGATTGACCTTGTGAATTGTTGTACTCCGGTTTTCGCCGAAGACGCGGGAGTCATGGGGGTCTTGGGCCAAGACATGTGTCCGCAATGCTATCGTTTCATTCCATTTGCATTCAATTTCAAGTGTTGCTAACGACATGAATGCAAGTGCACCGGAATGGAACACAGAAGGTCGGTCAGATTTTCTGTACCTGGCTTCATCAAAATTCCTTTGAATCTCACAGTTACACGTCACACGTTAACCATTCCCGCATTAAGCGATAAAAACTTGGTAATCTCTTGCATTGTCATTGTATATTAAGTTTTGACTTGTTTGAAGATAGATGGATGGAATCTCAACAGTTTTGCTACATAGGTTATGTAAAGTAAATTTCCTGTGCCTCGGAACGTGCCCGGCTTTCTCCTTCAAGATTAGAAGTCATAGTCATATTTCTCAGTTGATCCCTTATCACTCCAACGAAAAGCGTTGCGAGGTTCAATCCACCTCGGGCATCAGGATGTCTTGCGCCGTTAATTTTTTGACCATTGCCTTTCTTACAGTGCTGATTGCTTTTGGCTTGGCTTTAGAAGACCGGGATGGAAAGCCTATGGAACTGCTGTTTCGCGGGTGGGCAGATGCCCAATCTCACACTCGGGACGATATCAGGCGCCCCGACTTGATCATCAGTCATGTCCCCATCAATCATCCGACCCCGGCTGTTCCAATCGGTGAGCAAGATTCTGTCCCAACCTAATTAAAAAAACTGTAAGCAGTTGAGCAAGCTTGGAATTCTTGCAAACGCAGGAAACCACCCGGACTTGGTGCACAACACTCGTGACCTTCCACCGCTTCCGGGAAGCATTCAACCCCAGAACGAAGGTCCGATTACTGACTTGGTTGAACACGATCAAAACTGGAACCTCCGTAGCGAAACCGCATCATGGCGTCGAGGAGAAAAATCGGGGAAAACTACTGACTATTTGACGGGGTACCAGGTGGCTAATCCTGGTGCATTCAACCCAATTAGCTTCCCGAAAATTCGCTGGCCGTTCGCCTTAGACGCGCTCCTCCCGGTTCCAACATTCAAAAGAAGCCGATTGAATGACCCTTCAACCGTACAACCTGATATTCAAAATGTGCCTAACTTACGTCAAAAAACAACGACACAAATGCGTGGAATGGATCGAAAGATGAAGTCAATCACCACAATACAAGAAACTCAAGACGGCGGCTTGTCCAGAAAAAAGCAAGTTTCAAGCAGCAGCACTTCTCGCAAGAAGGGCAATCCTAAAAAGAAAACAGATTCATACCCAATGAAAGACACCCTTACAATTATTTCTGAGCCCTCGCCATCACAAGTAAATCTCAAAAGCGTCGAATTCAAAAGGCTTGAATTTAGGGAGGAGGTCTTCAAAGATGACTCCTTATTGCCAGATCATCAATTCAAATTAGCAAGAATTGAGGAACTATTCAAGACCCTGAAGGTCGATCAACTCTTGATCCCAAAAAGTGATTACGCTCTATGGAAGAAAACATTGAACGGGTTTTATTTTATTAATAGGCATGCAAAATCTAGTGCCACAGAGCGGATATATGTTCAAGGCAAGATAGGCTTTTGGGGTCGCTCTTATCAGGAATTATGTGAACATCAACATCTGTGGTTTAATTTTTGGGAAAGTAGAAGCTTGATGAATTTGTACAAAATTGACCTTGACCAATACGAAGATGAACCGTTCAAAGAAATGAAAAAACTGTTCACTGTGTATTTATTCTATGTTGACATGATTGAGACAATCGTTCAAGGAACTCAACCATCGATTTCTGAAACCCAGCCTAATTTTCTTCAAGAGTCAGTCAAATCGTTCAAAATGTTCCGGGTAATACAGTACCAAGAACATCGGAATAACAAAAATACAAAGGCTACTCAAGCAAAACGGATCCCACAAGTTCTGTGGCTATACTTGGAATACTGGATGAAAAACTCTAGCAGGAAAGATTTATGGGAATATCTAATGCCAAAACAAGATCTAATTAACAAATTCAAAGGTTTCTTTAATGATATTTTTGCTTACTCTATCAAACATTTTAACAATAAATTAATTGCTTCATCAAAAAAAAGAAAAATTCATATGCTTGAATAAAAGTACTTGATTTTTCTTACTTTTACTTTATTTTTTAAATTGGAAGCTTAACAATGATGATAGATCTGTATAATTGTTGCATGGTAATTGAGCTATCTTCAAAGTGCTGTAAGAAAACAAGGCTGGGCAGCATGAATCTTATTAAAAAAGGCTGAATTAAACCCATTAATTTAACTGGAATTCAATCAACCCAGCCAATTATTGGGGTTACAATGGGCTGGCTTGCATTAATTGAATTGAACAGAATCTTTAGTGGTGGCTATGCAAGACATCTAGCAACAAATTTAAACTCCAATGATTCAATTTTAAAGTATAGTTCTCAAGCTTTCTAAAGCTGAATCTTCAGCTAACTGTTGCTGTGAGCCTGGGTCTCAAAAGTGACAGCAGGACACAAGGATTGGGGGGCACTTTTAATTGCATTTCCTAAGAATCAGGAAATACAATAAAAGTAAGAGGGAGAAAAGAAGAAGGATAAATAAAAAGGAATAATATTGTTTTGACGTGGTTTTTCCGCATTTTGATGCGGTTTTTCCGTGTTTTCCCGCGTTTTTGGCTGCGTGCAGCAGACACGGATTCTGCGTTTACTCAAAACATAACTTCATACCCCACACTGGATGTGCAGTAAACAAAACCTGGATATGTAGTATTTTTATATTTTTTTTTTGTTCACCTCTTCACACTATTTTTTTTTTTAAAAAAGAACACTCAATATGCAGCTTTTTTACTCCATATCCAATACTGGATATGAGGTAATGTTGAAAGTGCGCGTTTTGACACAGTTTTTTGATTAATTTTTTACCGCTTATTTATTGAGTTTTTTTGAATTTTTTGAATTATTTCCTACTTTTCAAAGTGTGTAGAATTTTATGTTGTAATCCAATTTTCATGAAAATGAAGGTTCATTTTTAGTAATGCAATTGGACTCATTTTTTCACTTAAATTTTTACAGCTTAATTTTCATTATTTTTTGACACTTTAAATTTATTTCCTACACTTTGAGACATGCTGAAAATTATGGTGAAAATAATTTTGCATAAAAATGAAAGGTTCTTTGTAAATATTGTGTTGGACAGGAAAAAAAAGAAGAAAAAAAGAAGAAAAAAAAAGAAGAAAAAAGATTTTTTTGAAATCCCACTGATACATTTGGACTTCATTATTGGTATTGTATTGGCCGGGCCAGTACATTCATGATGTATAAAGTTGATTGTATTGGCCACACAATAAAAAGTATTGTGCCGGGGGCCAATACTATACTGAGCCCAAATATTGGGTGGTATTCTAAGGCAATACCACCCAATACCAATACCCAGCTAATATTGGTTTGAACGTTGCTTACCAGCCACTGTCAATCCCCCCCATTCCCTATAATGACAACAAAATCAAAAGCTATGTGGATGCTGAAATTTCAGCCATCATTAATTTGTTCCCCTTCCTACCTCAGCAGTATGGGTACTCATGCTAAATTGAATGATTCCAGGCCCAGAACTGAAATTTACAATGAAAACGCGACTGTTTTTCCTTTGGTAGTGGTTACACAATGATGTATAACAAAAGAGGAGGAGGATCGAAAACAGCTAATTCCCTAAAACCAGAAATTTTTGCAATAGCTTTGTTATGTCGTATGAAGGGTACCATTGTTGACCTTTAAGTCTTGGAGCCCCTACCTCGAAACTACTCCCTGACCTCTTCCTTTTATACCCCACAGGTCTGCCTCACTCCTCAGTTCATTTCAATTTTTTTCCTGATTCAAAAACAAATTCTCTTCCTAAAATAGAATCTTTTTCTTGTTGCACATTTTGTTGTTTGTACCACTAGAGATCGTTCGTCCGTACTTTTTGCAGGTACCTGGTACCTACTGGGGGGTACCCCTCGCACCCGCCCCACACCCGCCAGGAGGTGCCAGGTGCGGTACTTGGTACCTATTTTTGTGAAAAATTGAACAGGTACCCCCTCACTTCCCTACCAAAAATCAAAATGATGGTGGCCTTCTACTCCAAGAACTCCAAGATCCAAGAAGGTACCTTGGCTGCATGGAAACAGGGACTCAAGGATAACAAGAAGTCTAACAAAAGATCAAAAAGTAAGGTGATGGTTTTGGATGACAATGAAGATTCTTCCAATTAGTTATAAGTTGTAGATAGTTTAAACTTTGCAATAAATTATTAAATATGAACAAATGAAAAAAGTGACTTGGGACTGATGTTTTACAATAAATATGAAAAAAATAGAAAAGTAAGATTCTTCGAATTAGATGTAGATACCCTTACAACAGATATTAAAAAA